ACTGTAATTAAGGAGGCAAAACTTTACAATTTCATAAAAATTAAGTTTAACATGCCAAGTAGTAAAAGATTAACTTTTATGTTATAAAGGCCTCAAGACATTAGGTGCCAAACACAACAAGGAAAATTAGCAAATATACCAAAAAAGAAATTGTTTAATCCTGTAATTGAAGTAAATATTCATGTTACAAATATTAAACACTATAAGTAATTTTTTTTATGTTACAGTTATTTAATCTGCTATTGATTGATAGTTACTTGTTATTTGCTAAGTTACTACTTCTTATTTACTGTAATTGTTTTTCGCCCGTTAATTTTTGTTTTTATTAATCTGAATACTCAAAGTTCTTTGGTCTAGCTGTAGCAGAAAGACAATTAAATCTGTTAAAAAAATAGAAAGGCATTTTAACAGTGAGTTCAATTTTTATAAAATGACAGTTTAAAGGTTAAAGTAAATTACAAATAATTATTTTTAACAAGTAGTATGAATTAATAACCTGAAAAGAATGATAAATAATATACTCTATGATGAACACATGTTATTCCCTTTGTTCATTTTTAGTTGTTTACTTTTAATTTTGCACTTAATTAAAGAGAAAATAAATGAAATATTTGTTTTACAATTTTACCCATGATAATGATATATTTCAAAATGCATGAAATGATTTATGAGTAATTAATTATAGGGGTAAAACAAGATTTTTTTTTGTCTTTCTCATGATTTGCTAAAATCGACAAATAAAAGTGAAAATATATTTTTAGTATAATAGACAAGTAAAAATAAACGAAGTGAGTAATTGATAAACATTTGTAGGTGTATTTGTATCAAACTAACAATCTGACCTTTAAGGTTATAAATTAGTGTGAAAATATTTGTCAATGAAGTGATCAAAATATGTGATGGAGAACCTTGGAGCGACGGTAAAGTTGTCTGTGTGTGATATATATAACGGGGTCGAGTATTGAAAGCACTATTAATACTTACATTAAAATTGTTATGAAACAATAAAAGAAGAAGAAGAGTATTGCAGAGAAAAGTATAGAGAGAGAGAGAGAGAATTCTTATTGAATTGTGGGATGAATTACAATGGAATAGAACCCTCTATTTATAGGGAGAGAGTGACTTAGCCACCAAGTAATAAACCCTAGAATCTCTCTAAATATAGACATTCACCATAAATAAAATTTTATTTATAACACTCCCCCTTGAATGTCTATTCAACAGATAATGTGCCTCGTTAAAACCTTAACTAAAAGAAAACCCAGTGGGAAAAAAAATTCTAGAGAAGGAAAAAGAGTACACATATCTAATAATACGCCTTTTGGTTGCCTCGTTAAAAACCTTGCAAGGAAAATCCAGTGGGACAAAACCTTGTAAGGGAAAAAGAGTACAACGCGTATTAACTCCCCTTATGAGAGCATCAATTCACATCTTTAAGCATTTGTATTCCAATCTTGTGCAGCATCTTCAAAAGATCTTTGGTAGAGATTTGATGAACAAATCAGCCATATTAACTTGAACGAATATATTGCACCTTCAAATCATCATTCTTTATAGAGATGAATTGTCTTCATATGATCTTGTTGGAATCGTCAGTTCAATATCTTCACATAGAGGTGAAAACTCTTGCTATCATATTATCATGCATATAGTTATAGCAAGATACATATGTGCACAAATTGCATTTACGATATAGTACTTCATGATCATGAATTCTATATGCTTTAAGCAATTTAAATCCTTCAAGGATTTTTAAGTCATATAAGCCATATAATAGACTTTAGATGCATATCAAGTTTTCATGTCATGCTAGACATATAAGATATCGAAAACTGATTGCACATACCATTGACTTTATACATTCAAATGTTTGAACTACATGCATGTTCAAAACTACATGTCTTTCATATGAAACCAATTCTATTCGAAATTGTTTCACCAGACTTAAGATCCTCATATATATTTAGCGGTATCATAGATGTCGTCGACGAACATTTTATATCGGTTTCAACATTTTTAATAAAGACATAACATAGAGATCTCTTCATTCATATATTCAGGTACCTGAATCTCTCATGAGATTTTATGAAGTATTATGTCATGTGATCTTCTAGATCACTTGTCTCCTTTATTATGATCATTTTGATCATTTGCTCA